TATGTAAACATCTAAGGAATATGGGAAAACTCCATAAAGAAGGTGTTTGGGTGCCTCATGAACTCTCCAATGATCATCGTTTCCAATGTGTGAACATTGCTTCGTCTGTTCTGGCGCGTAATACGCATGAACCATTTTTGGACAAAATTGTCACCAGTGATGAAAAATGGATTCTCTATGCGAATATTAAACACCAAAAACAATGGCTCAGTCCTAGACAAAATCCACTTCCGACCCTAAAACCTGGACTCCATCCGCAGAAAGTGATGCTTTGCATTTGGTGGGACATCAAATGAGTAATTCATTTTGAACTCCTCAATCCACAGCGAACTATCAATGCAAAGATCTGTAGTCAGCAACTGGTACGTTTAAATCAAACCCTTCATCAGAAACGTCCTTCACTTGTCAATCGGAAAGGTATTCTTCTCCATGACAATGCATGTCCACATTTGGCATGTTTGATGCAACACAAGATTATGGAATTGACTTGGAAGTTCTCCCCCACCCACATATTCTCCAGGTATGGCACCATCAGATTACCATCTTTTTTGTTCATTGCAACACCATCTTAATGGGAAAACATATGCAAATGTGGAAAGTGTTAAAGAGGACATCGACGTGTTTTTTGCTTTAAAGCCAAGTGATTTCTTTAATCAGAGCATTAACAACCTGACTGTAAGATGGAAAACCATAATCAATAAGAACGGAGACTATTTCATTTACTAAATGTTTTGTTTGATATACAAGTTGTTTGGGTTTTTTCGTCTAAAAGAAAGTGACATTAATTTCTTGACAACCTAATAATTTCAATTTCTTGAAACATTACATTAGATTTACACTTTTACCTTAAAGAATAAACAACTTAAACAAATCCTAATCAAGGAATACTAGTGTGAGATTATGTTTTTATCAATCATCATATATTATTCCAATCAACAATGTTTATGTATTTCAGGTAATCCATAAAGAATGCCAGCATATGAACTAGGTAAATCACCAAAGTCTCTGTTACCAAAATTTATAACATGGGCATCAATGTAGGTCCATATGATGTCTAGACTAACTAATCAATAATGTTTATATCACTTATAAATAAACTAAAAAGTTTACAGACTATAAACTGCCAAGACAATTATGTATAGATACACTTTAACTTTATCAATGGAAAATACAAGAAACTGGCATACACATACTAGTTTTATATTTAACTTTCTAGATAGCCTGTTGTGTTTATTAACAATATTAAACACACATATTAAATTTAACAATGAAAAACACATAACTGGTGCACGCATCAGTCTTTGTAATTCATCGACAGTTGGCCCACTGTATTTACTAATATATCACTTCAAAATTATTAACATGTACTAGGAGAAGGAGGATAAACAGAGCTGAATCTTGAATAATGAAAAGTTTAAGGCTTGGCCAAGGTATGAGATAACAAAAACCAAAAGTAATTTCACTTCTGGTATATTCTTTTTTTTTTCTTGTTTATCACCAGTGGATTTCAAATACAGCAAATTTTTTTAAGCCTAATTACAACAGAGAGAGAGGAGAGAGGAGTTATGGTGTCATGATCTCAGTTCAACATATAAGAGAAACAGGTTGAGAAAGTCAAAACTGCAGTGGTATAAATATATATATAAAACGAAAAAAAAAAAGTCTACCAATACTGCAATTAAAAAAACATGTATTGTGTCATGCCTGCTATATACAAGTGAATAACAACTTAAAAATTATACAAACCAAAGAATGACGTACAGAATACTCTGTATTCCACTTACAATTTTGGCAAACTTTTTTTCTATACATGTACATATGTCACGTGTACCATAAAACAGTAGATAAACAATAATCCCCTTTTTTACATTATAAAATCAAAGTACTAGTTAATTCATTTTGCTGGTGAAATAAATGTTGTCTTTACTGTATTAATTCTTACAAAATGTACAACTGTAGTGACAGTAAAAATCAACAACTTACAGTTACAGTTTATGTACTCACAAATATGTATATATAACAATTATTTATAAAAATAACGTTTTTATATACTAACATTACAGTAAGAGTAAATGAATACTTTTAATGAGATATAAAAACAGCAAAACACTTACTACAGGTACAGACTTCAGAGACATTAACTGGCAAATCAAATTTACATTATTTGTTTGCCTCTTTATATTCTGGATGGATGGGGTATTCAAACTATCAGTGCAAAGGACTACAATATTCTCCTCTTAAACTTTCCTTGTTATACATCTACTTAAATTATAAACCTTTACTTATTCAAGGGCAACACCAGACCAGAGGCATTGCCCAGACAAATCCTGCACTGTCACCTACATTTAAAAATATGACCAGGCTCCATCTAGTGTGTGAACTTAGTACTGCAGTTCTTATTAAAAAAATATTACATGCATCTCCATGAATGGTAATAACACAACAATGAGGAGGGGAAGGGTGATACTCCTAATGTAATTGCAATAATTAAAGATAAAAAAAAATGAATTGCAACATAGCACTTAAAACACTGAATGCTATTTTGGATGTTACATTATATCTCTATACAAATCTCTATTTAGGTCTCAATTGGGTGACTTTGAATACTGCGTAAAGTTTGGTCTCCTCATCTACGAAAAGATATTAACTTACCAGAAAGGGTTTAGAGGCAGGCTACTTGGACTAAGATGATCCTGAAGAAAGAAGGATTATCACAGAGGAAGGTGTTATGATTTCTTAACTTATATTTTGACGGAAAAAACTAGGTTCTAGAAATTAGTTACAGATAACATAAGCTTAAGAATATTTCTTTTATTTTTACATAATTAAGACTGATTACTTACTAATCGAGAGACATTGGAAATATTTCTTCATATTACAAGACAAATACATTAATCTGCTGTAAAGGTTACCTCAGCAATGTCTAGATTAACTAATTAACTAGAGATATTGCAAGAAGTTAAAATAGGTGCATTTGTCTCTAATGTAGTACAGAACAAATACAGGATACATGATTTAGGCTTCAACATTTTTAGGGTTTTAGAAAGGTTAACTGTTTAAACATCTTAATTTTCTGGCCTGAATATGTTGGTAAGAGTGACCTGAGAATCTTTGAACTGTATTCCTGAAAACTAATAAAATGAAAGGACAGAAGTTTAAGGTTTAGAAAAAACAGACTAGGTTCCAGTTAAAACACTTTCTTTATCTAACATGAAGGCCAAATGAACCATTGTTGTCTTTATATCACAGAGTTATGCCAAATGTTTTACAACCTTCTGAAACCTAGACCAAGATTTGTCCTAAACTCAATTGTTTTTAAACTGTACAATTGTATACATATATCCCCTGATATTGTTTTATGTTCATAATATTTATTTTCGTTAGATTTGATTAACAGACATACAGTTATGAAAAGTTACATTTCGATAGACTACTGTTTGGTTTCAACTGCCTACTGATAGAGATGATCAGTATAAATTGAATAGACTTCTACTATGTTGTTCATTCTTAAAACTTATCATCATAGGCTATATACTTAAAAATGCATTCAATTTACAGAACATGTAATAATATTCTAGTTACAAGTAGTAATACATTAAATAATAAAAACAAAGCTAAACCACAAATTATTTCCTATATAAAAACTTTAACTAAAAATGAATAACTCCTCTACAATATTTACATGGTACAACTATTTTTATGATGGGCCCAATACATACCAATAAAAACTATGTAATTATATAACTGAAAACAAAATAATATGACATTGACAGGATGATAGTACAAATACAATAATGTATGTAGCCTTAGTTGTTAACTTTAAAAATTAGATGAATATATTCACAGATTAATTTTATTTTCAATACCACTCATCATGATAAACTAAAATGTAAAACAGAAATTCAACGAATGTTATATTTTGATCTAGTTTTACATAACAAAGCTAGTATATTACAGGTGTTTTAAAAAAAAATACCAAACAACTCAATGTTAAAAAGGTACGTAAAGAAAATATAACATACCAAAATTCCCGAGTACCTAATACGAAAACACTATTTAAAAACAGTTATCATTTACTAATTCTCTTGACTGCCACTAGTTTATATGATTTCAAAAGGGCTGTCAATCCAATCTCAGAAACGTTGATCCATGTTCTTGAACTCTAAAGAATGTTCAAGTTCAATAACCTTTTTTCAAGACCATTCCAACAGGAACTGATGAAATATGACCTAATTTACGTTATTTTTGGCTATCTGCCCGGTGCTACTGTTCGTGCAAATCCTTAGATTCCTTTCAATTAAGGATGTGAATTTGATGAAAAGAATCCATTTTGTGCCTAATATTAATGAAGTTTGAAGATGGCTTGAAATTTTAAATGGGTAACAAAGATAACTATTATAAGTTTATCATGTTAATAAATATACAACGTTTCGACAAGATTTTGTAATCATTAGGTACGTTATTTACTACGTTAAACTTCTAATAGTTTTCTTGGTTACTCATTCAACTTCAAGCCGTTTCGAAACTTTATATGGTAATGAATATTATATGTAAATTATGATTCAAAATATGGTCAAAACACATTTTGTCTCAGTTTCAAACTTTCAGTAGTATTTGTGTATAAATACTGATCTATGTTTTAACACATATTACTACTTTGAAATGTTTTAAAATCAAGATATAAATTATAAGAGTATTACATATATATATATATACGACTAATGCAAATAAAACGTAAAACATTAATAAAATTGAACGACTATAACTCATGCTTAGCTTCCAACAATAAATAAAAAATTCAACTTCCAAAACTGCAGTTCATCTTCATTGTCACTAGTAAGTGTCGATTTCTTTCTTTTTGTGTGTTTGCCAATGTAAGCCCAACGGCGGAAGTTTTACCCAAATTTAGATAGTTACAAAGGTATTTCTTACAAACAAAACCATGTAGAATAGCAAATACATGTTAATATAATTGCAAATAATACTACTACTTTATACACACTGTCGTAATAATATCAAATAAATAAGTTTACTTGAAACGTACCACATCTCCGTTCTTCACATCTACCAAGGTGATTACCCCTTTGGCAACTATCGAAAAAGTCTACCGTTAGGTGTCACTTTTCAAATGTATGTTTTAGAACGTATATTTTTTGTAATAGTTTTACGAACTTTTTAACCTAAATATTACAATTTATTAAACAGTCATATGTAAATAATATTTATCAGTGATGAGTTGTCATTCATCTCGCAACATTCAAGTTTAAAGATATACACAGATATTTATACTTGTTTGTTCATTAAGCCCAAAGCTTCACATTGGGCTATATGTATATGTTGTCCCATCACGGATGTCAAAACCAGACTTTTAGTGTTATAATATGCGAACTCCAATAAAATCTTGCAATAACAAATTACTTAGCAGGTTAATAAGTAAGAACGTTTATAATGAATATATGGCTGTTATATATTAGACTAATTTCACGAAAGTACGATTACGAAAAATATCATATTTGAAGTATGGCGAGTATACATAGTGTTTCCTGTCTATTTAGTTTAGTATATGATGAGTCTTCCCTGTTCGCATACAATTTTCAAAATATTTCAAGCTGTTTGTGGTTTTAACAGTAAAATGTTGATCATGGTATGTAGTAGATTACTTCCTCATAGTTTTTTTATTGTTCTAGGTCATTCTTTTTTTTGTGTCGCATGCACTTTCTCGCCGAAAAGATGACAGTATAGTAAAGGAAGGCAGTGGTTATTTACCATCTCGAGGGCGTGTCATTTTGTATTGGAATGACCAATAGTGACGTAGTTAGCGCTTGCGTTGTACTTTTGTTATGGCATGCATTGATGTGCTCCCTCAGTCTGGAAAGGATTACATAATTCAGATTATCTGCAGGTTTAGAGTCAGATATCCAGTACAAGAGCTGCCCATTGTCCAAAGAAGTCACTGCTTTTATTTGTCTTTGAACATTGTTCAATTGTTTTGGTCAAACTCACTCAGATATTTGTGTATAGAAGCTCATTATGCTATTAAAAAAATAAATGAGTAAACAATGATTTAAAAGTATAATTTTTTTTGGGGGGGGGGAAGAGGACATACATGCTTCGACAGAACATTAGTTTGCACATTAAATTTGAAATATCCTCTTTCATTGGTGATTTCCAATTGAAATGTTTGGCTTAACAACATTTAATAACTTTAGCCAATGCAAGCCTTTGTAAGTAATGGAGCTTTTTTTTTCAGGATAATTTATGGCTAGTTTTGTTTTTATTTATTCAAGCTTATGTAGAAGTGGAATACGTTATATTAAAACCATTTTGTTGCCTCACCACGTCATTTGTATTGTCATGCTCGAACTGATAACCATGCAGCACAGTTACCATAGCAAAACAACGCTGTCGTCTGGCGGCCATGCACAAAATCCGTAACTACACACCGCAGGCTGTCCATAATACATCTAATGTACGAGGACTAGTTTTTCAGCACTTGTTTCAAGTCTGATCACACAGAAATCCATGTGTGCTGCTTTGACTTATATATTTTCCTATGGAATAGCATGAATGCCTGTGTCCTCTCCAACTGTTCAACGTACGCAATAATTAAATGGATATGTTGTTAAAACAAATTGTGGTTTTCCAAGTGACGATCCTTCTTGATTGTTTCATACCATTACATGGAAAATGTAAACAGCTTTTGCGGTCGTAAAATTAAGAGATTTAAATTTGTGACAGGCAAACCCTCTTTTTTTTTTTATAACGAATTATTTCTATGAGGTCTTCACATTCAAACTTTCTTGTAGGTATGATTTTGTGTAACAAAAAAAAAGTAATATTTGTCTGTTTTAAAATATGAAAGGGCTGTAAAAATAGTCCCTTTTTCCTCATTCCATTATCAAATCTAGGTAAAAAAATTGGACATTATTTATAAACAGGCCATTGAGAAAACACCTTTAAGTTAAAACCAATAAATTTCAACCAGAACAGCACCTTATTCAGCACATAGGATAAGTGACCAGACTATTCACTTCAAGCCTCCATCTTGTATTGAAATTGGGTTTGTTTGAAGTTAAGCACAAAGCTACACAATGGGCTACCTGTGCTCTGCTCACTACGGGTATCAAAACCCGATTTTTAGTGTTGTAAGTACGCAGACATACTGCTGTGCCACTGGGGAACATGAAATTGGGACAACTTCCAACATTAATATAAAAAACATGGCAAGTTTAACACAACTTTTTTATTTAACTTACCTGCTTTTACTGTACATCTTTACAGGGTTTGCCCTTTTATATAACTAAGCTTTTTTTGTATGTATGTATGTATGTATGTATATATATATATCACCTTTATATAAATTATGCCTTTATTATACTTGTTTTGGGAAATTTAATTTCTTTTATCAAATATCACTACTTTTTATGCTCATTCTTTACAATTTAGAACAAGATTGCTAACAGATGCAGCTCTTCGACTACTATGCTATTCCCTTATTTCATAGTTTCTAAATGCCTCTAGGCACTTAAGCTATCAGTTTTAATCAAATGATTGTGGAGAGCAATTCACCATTAAAATAATACATGTGCTACAGTTGTCAAACTATAATTCACATTAATAATTACTAGTGGAACTTTGTTTTGTACAGGTCCTTTTTTTACTAGACATTTGCTTTTTGAACAAGATGAATTTTACTACTTTTTAATGTTTATTTCTCTTTATTTCAAACATACATGCAGCTACTGTGATATACTTTTGTAAAGATCTGTTTAGAAACAAGTGGCATCCCAGCATTTGGTACAGCTGTGGTCCTACACCGTTACTCTAGTTACCTTTCGAACTTAATTGTATTTACTACTATAGTTCAATACGATACAAGTATATTTACAATTACGTACACAAAAACCAGTAAAATACATTGAAAACTTATATTAATGAGGGCTTTTTATTGATTCACAAACTCTTGATTACACAAAAATGGAAAATAAAAACCAGAATCCTTGACAGTTCAGGTAGATAATTATGCATTTCTACTAAAAAATGACATCTAATATGTAATTAAATTAAAATAAGCAATTAATTTTACATTCACCCACTGGTCCTTGATTTTATATCATATAGACAAAAGCATTATAAAACTAAAACACAGTATCTACAAGAACACAAAACATATATGTAAAGTGAGACATTAATTATCTATTGTGCCTTGTCATTTTTTCAAATATCTGGCCTTAAAAAGCTCCATCAGACCCTTCAGATAAGATATTTCATTACTCAGCTGTTGTACCTTTTCTTTTAGTTCTTGGTTTTGCTTCTTTAAAGAAGCTTCCTCATCTACCAAAACCATAGACTCAGCCCGTTTCTTCTCGCGGTACCTCGTTGCAGCTTCTTTGTTTTGTCGCTTTTTACGCTCTTTTCGCTTATCTGAAAAAGTCCCTTTAACAACAGAACCAGTAACTGATTTTATACGAGAGCTTGGCTTCTCAAGGGCAGAGGGTGCAGTGCCATATGGTGTAATTCTGGACTGTTTGACTTCAATGTCTCCTGAAAGTTCATTTTCTAATTCTACAAAGTCTGAATTACTAACTGGAGAAGCATCAGAATTGACTGACGTTTCTAAAGAATATTTTAAATCAAATGGTAAATCTGTTGAACTGGATATTATGGACTCCAAAATGCTAAAAGCCTCATCTTCACTACTAATTTGAAAACTAGCGAAAGAGTTTTTGGTGTTATTTGAAACTTCACATGATGAATCAGATGAATTTTCAACTACTGGTGAAGTGTCACCATTGTTACTGACAGAACCCAAGACTGAAGATATGTCTGGTACTTTTCCAACAGGTGATTCTGGTGGAGTGCAGGTATTCACAGACAAACCAATAATTCCTTCAGAATATAGATTTGCTGAACCAGTTATAGTGTCTGAAGAATTAATACTCTTTGTGGAATTAAAGGATTCAATGACATCATCAGAAGAGTTGAGGTTTGAGTTAACAATCTCTGTTTTATCCACCAAGGATGTAAAGAGGGCAAAAGGGTCCCCATTCTTCACCAAAGGATCATCCAGGGGATCAAATTGCAGCTCCAGACATTCCAGGACGGACATGTCCATGTTTTTATCCATCCAATCTTGCAGATCTAAAAAACAAAAAGTTTTTGTGTAAATCCAATTAGATGAAGTAATTTATGTAACTAAATGGGAAATTAAAAAAAATAAAAGATTTTCTTTCTCATAAATTACAAAAATTATATGAATACCTATTTTATTACCTAAATATGAGTTAAAATATAGCATGTTAACTGGCAGTAGTACAAAATATAATCAATATTTTACATCACAGAAAAGCAATATACTACTTAAATTTTGACTTTGTTTTTTAAAGCCTCATTCTAACATACAAAAATCAATTTATTGCAACAATATTATAAATGTTTACGTAATTAGAGTACTAAATATGTTCATTTACTACTTAGTTTGTATGTAAACTTATTATTCTTGGCTACACAATATCTTGTGGAGCATTTGAAGATGTAAGCTAGATTCCTGAATAGAAAAATTGGCATTTACCTTTCTAAAAACAATTTAATAAATGAAAACTGACAACTCTCAATATATTTTTCAGACTTTCTGGTTAACACCATGTGATAACTCAGCAATTGTACATTACCAGATTATGTAATTGAAAGGCCATTGTTAACAGTCAAAAAATAGACTTGCTAAACATTTCTTTTCTTAAACTTATCATCACCACCATTTCCTTTCCCCATGAAGGTAAGATATATAAAATAAGAATGTTACAAGTTAAAACTTATTATTTATTGATAGTTTAGATGAGTAGCTTTGACACTTGGCCAGAGCTGAGTATTACCTGGTACCCATGAATACCTAATATTTAGTGCTTATTTATATATATATATATATAAAATGAATAATAATAATAATAATGCCACATGTATGGTATTTTCATGTAAGAGGATGTATTATAATCCATTGCTATTCATTTACAAAGCTACCATTCAGCAAGCATGTGATATTTTGTTGCAACAGTCACATTAAATTTTGTTTTATGTTTTGATAATTTCAGATGTAGCAATCATTCAGTTTCAAAAAGGGCTTTCATTTTCACTAAATTTATTATGCATTTGGAGTGTTACATGTGCATACACACCATTATCATCCACATTTTGTTCCTCTGTAATAATCTCAGGATAAGACTGTTGGTTATTTGTAGGAACTGAAACAGTGGATTTGTTGAAATCTGAATCTACTTCTTTCAGGAGAACATCACTATCACTGAAGTCAGACTCTTCTACATTTATCATAGCATCGGGGAACAGAGCTTGCTCCAAGCTCCATACCCCTGCTGTCTCTGAAAAACTGAACTTTTCCATAACTGCCTTGGTTTTGAATTGATATCTGTTGATCTAGCTGTTTCTCTGCCGAAACAGGTGTGAAGGAAGCAAAAACCCTTGAAACCTAAAAAAACAACAAACAAATAGGAATTTACATCAAAAATAGAAACATTAACACAAATACAAAAACCTTAAATTAATTAATGATTATGGGGCTTATGTCGAAGGTTTAGCACGTGAGTAGTAATAGAACAATAAATTCTGTTTATGCTCAAGAAGATTGTTTTATAACTACACAAACACAATACATCACTTACAAAGTTGCTAAATTAATCACACATAAAAATGCAAAAAGAAAATACTACATTTTCAACTCAGTATTATAGCTGACAATAAAAATTCAAATAATCTAAGAGGTTAATATAACCACATCATGTTTATAAACCAATAAGATGCACAATGTAGTTTAGTCCCAGAGAATAATTTTAAAATGGTACTTTTGACTTGAAAGACTGTTTTTGAGATGTATTCTATGAACATTACTAGTAAAACTCATGTTAAAAACTCATTTTGTCTTAAAGAAAAACCCCCCACTTAGAACAATGTTTGATCTTGATTACTCACAAATACATACCACATATTAGACCAACAACACACAATTCTAACTAGAAACCTTGGTTCAACAACAAATGCACAAATTTATTGCCGGTTAATCAGGAATATTGGCTATCTAATCTAATAAAACATTACTTGTAGTTCCTGCTCTAAAGTGCGAGTAAAACTTTGAAATTTATCTTGTTAATGGAAAAAACATTAGTCAGATTTTTTGCCATACTTCTGCTATGTCAATGCTCTGCTGCAGGGTTCAAAGCCTCCTCATTATGATCCACAGAAGCCCCAGTGTACCAATCAAGCTCCTGGGCCACTATCATAAAAGGGTGTCTATACACACACAAAACAAAATCCCCAAAAAACTTGTGTAAGGTACCCAGTGTCAAGATTTATACTATAGCTCATCAGTTGATGTTATGAACCTACTCTTAAAACTCCAATCATGTCTGAATGACCTTCTGGGCATTTTGGCAGGAGGGGACTACCTTAAATAGATAAGGACTCCTGAAAATATTGATGCATCAACACTATCAGTTCCATTAATAATCTTTCATATCTCAATTGGATCCAAACCAACTCTTCATTTTTTCAAGAGCACAATTTCAGAGATCTTAACCTATCCTAGTATGATAACCTTTCCCTCCCAGGTATCATATAGTAGCCTTTATCCAAATCCTTCCGATCAATTTTGTGCCTTTCCTAAGGTAAGGCACCCAAGTCTGAACACAATACTCCAAATGTGGTCCAACCAGTGATTTGTAAAATGAAATTATGTTGGAAATTTTTTTAAATATGAAGAGTATATATGGGCATCCGTAGAAGAAAATGTTATTTTAATCATTTATTTTAAAAATGTATTAGAAAATAATACTATTTAAATATAAATGAAGAAATTATGTTTACATAAGTCAGCCAGAGCATTGCATTCAAACTTCAAGGCAAATGACCTGTGCTCTGCAATGGCTAGCCCCCACCTGGAATAAATTCTGAGGACGTTCATATAAAAAAACAGCATGTTGAATAGTAGGGTGAAGATGTAAGTTCTATACCATTTGTAGGATTACAGCAAAATATAGTTATAATTAACAAAATTTATTTATGTATGTCTGAAAATCTTGAGTTTTTACACTGCAGAGTTAAATTTCAGAATGTATTCCAGTCCTACGCTTACAGTGACATTTATTTGTGTTATGCATGTGCAGAAACATGTTTTATAAAGTAAAGTATGGTCAAGTTGCATTATTATCAAAGAAAACCACAAGATATTGATTGCAATTATTTTTATATTTTGTAAGAAATTTATAAGTAATCATTTACAGTTACTTGATAGCTCAAAATGGTTGAAATAAACTAACTACTAACTATGAAGCAAATATTTGGGACCCGGTCTTTGCTATACATTTTATCAATGCTGAAGGACAGTGATAATACTTCCACCTCTCAGATACCTGGTCAGTATCTATGGTGTGTTTTTGCACCACAAAATGTTTAAATAATAATTTTATTTTGAAGTAAAATAAACTTGGCATATAGTTGACCATTATCACATATTAATGGTGAAAATTATAGCAATGCTAGAGAATGTTTTACAATTGAATATAGGTCATTTGCATAACAAATTAGAGTTCCCCTAAATACGTGTTAATGGTGTACTTTTTGTTTTTCTGTTACACGTCTTGACACCATAATCAATATATTTTCTTAATGCTGCTCTCTTGACACAATAAGCAAAACATTTTCTTAATGCTGCTTTAAATGAAGGAGTGTAAGTTACTATTAGTATTATTTATCTCTCTCTCTCTACGTGCCATATCCAAACAGGACCATGGTCTTTCACAGATCTCTTCTCCTTGGGCACAAAGTATTTCCAATGTTGATACATTTATCATTTAGATAGGCTGTTAATATAAGTCAACCTCTGTCTTCCATGGTCTATCCTTCCTTCAGTCTTTCCAGTTACAATTAGACTTTCAGTTTCTTCTTTCCTCATAATGTGTCCGAGAAACTCCAACTATCTCTTTCTAATGTTAGTCAACAGCTTCCTCCTGCAACCTGCTCTTGACAGAATATCTTCATTTGAGGTGTTACATGTCCAGTGTACCTTCAAGATGTGCTTAAGAACCACAACTCAATTGCTTCAATTCTCTTTTCCATATTTGGCAATCCAACATTCTGATGCATACATCAGAAATGATAGAACACAGCAATCCATAACTCTTTTGTTTTTAACTGTTAAGTATTATGTACAGGGAGACTTAACGAATAGTCTAAATATTGGAAGGCTCTTACCTTATACATTGTTTTAATAAATCCATTGACTACAAAGATGTCCAAAACAAACTGACATGGTTTATTTGCTTGGGTTAATCTGAGTGTGTCATGTGGTTATTAAGAGCTGTCTTTCAAAACATTTTGTTCTAACTACAAATTCTAGTTTAACAGTTTATTTAATACTGGGATAACTTCATTATTCTGTATTAATTCAGCTGATAGTTTAGTATTTATGTTCAGCTAACTCCACCTACTGTTCTGGAACCAGCAGGACCAAACTTTGTAGGTGGAGTTGGAGTTAGCTGGGTTAAATGTGCAACATTGTGTCATTTGAATACAATATTGAGCATGCATAATTCAAAATTTTGACCATATTTGTAATAGTTAGAATGAACAGTGTCTTAGACTGGAATATTTAAATTCAAAAATTCTTTTTATTAAAAATAAATTTACTTTTTGGTGCTTAAACATACCTAGCCTTTTATGTAAGTATAAAGAGTTAAAACATGGACATTTTATACATATAATTTAAGGACAACGGGGAACTTGTTGGTCCATCCACTAAACTAAAACTTTACAAATAAATGCTCAAACTAACCACTAACATTCACATTTTATCAAGCCTTCTTCTAAACCCCCTCAAAATAATTGCATTTACAAACTGAAGGCAACCCATTCTAGAAGATAACCAACCACCCAATTAGAAAAATAAAGCTGTTTTAGCTGAAGATGTCTTCTACCCTACCAAAATGCATATTTCTGTCCCACAGTTATACTGGTAAGTAGTAAAAGATTTTTTAAATGTTCCATCCCAAAATATTACCATTACTACATGGCCAACTCGGTTATAAACTTTATGAATGTTTTGTGCACAGAGATGTCTCTGCACCATTTATGGTGGTGTCATAATTAGGAAAGTGATTTTGGATGGAACCCATGGGTAGTCGGAGATGATAATATTTTCACCCACTCTCCCATGCTACTGTGTAGTATGTAATCATGGTGGTTGAGATTTATATATATATTATACTGTAATAAAGAAATTGGTACTGAACTGATATATACTTGTAGCGTTACATAGCATTACACTGTTATATCTTCTGCATTTTTCAGAAAGTACCAAAATATTTTAAGATGCATGTTTTGGTTCTTTATAGTTACATAAAGAGCTCCTGCATGTTTTTATATTCGCCACTTACACCAAATATTAAGATATTTAGCGTACATGATTGGTCGCTTAACATATATTAATAATTTTCAAAGAGAGCCTTGTCACAACCTGAAATATTTTATGATAATTTGTTTTAAAATTTTATCTTTTAAGTATGATGAGGATACATTGGCGCTTTAGAGAAAAATTACAACAAAGGTCATGGTAAATGATGGGATAGAATAACAGTACTAGCAGTATATAGTGCTCATACTACTACTAAACTAATAATATGCGAGTTTTTACACCATGTAAGATTCATGTAATTTGGAGGTGGTTGTACGTTTATTTTCGAAAGAATCTCACTCAGTTTTCATGATTGGAGAAAAACATATCACGGTGTAAACAGTTCTGTGAATACTAACTTACAGTTCTATTGGCAAAATTAGATTAACAATCATATGGAATAATGTTAAGCCTAACTTACTACTTTAATTTTAACCTTTCTTGTTAACATACACTGTTAGTGTTAGGGTTAAGACTACAAAATATTAATACAATAAAATAAACTTTTTCATATTAAAAAAAAAGAAAAACTTTACTTACGCCATTCTGAATGTATTTTCTACCGCACCGAAGGTGCTAGCCTCTCTTTTGAGTGCTAAACCATTTTAAAAAGCGATATTCTAAATTCTGTGTGGAAATTCGTAATCCTTTTCGTCGACATGAGAGAGAGGAATGTAGGTGACGTAGCAGTTAATCGGCGATTGGGAAATCTGAGGTTATTATTCTACGTACAAATATATTACTCCGACTGCAAGACATTTTATCAAAATGCATGACCTGAAAAAAGAAATTACATTTAGAATATCATTTATACAGACAAATATTTGGGAAAAATAATTGAGACTTCCATTGCATATATTTCACTTTATAAATATTTCTGTTGAATTATATTTCATCGCGTGTGTTTAAGTTCGTTAGTTTCCCGAGGTCGATTGCATCAGCTACGTTTGCAATGACGTTTAAGGCATGTCTTGGCTGTTATTTTGGAAAGGTGAACTTCTTTATGTGTGTCACAGTTTTTTTTTTCTTTTCTTGAATATACATATATAATATATTAGTTTTCAACCAGTGACTTATGTTTAGATATTTATAAAAGAGTAAATTAGTAAAAATCATAAGTTACTTTATTTGATAAAAATACGATTAACTTTATGTATTTTCGTTATGACGTCTCATGTCAATAACCTCTTTATTTCTTAAAACTGTGAGATAAGTAGTTCTCGAAATGCCTTATGGTAGTTCTTCAACTATTTTTTCTCGTGATAGATTTATTCGTTCTAAATCAAAGTTTAAAACAAAGTATTTAAAAGATACTGCCTTTTTTAGCAATAAAACATATGATTTGAAAATAAAAACAAAAATGCAACATGTAATTGAAGGGAAAGTGAGTAATTTTTACTCTATGTTAGATTATTAGACCTTTCCCTTTATATGGAGGGCTGAATACGTTACATAAAAACGACTTTGAACATGTAAATAAGGAAGTAATGTGACAAACCCAGCCAATATAAATTCGCGGTATCAGAATTACATTTTGATATTGTTCGGTGTTTAGTAAGGTACCTTAGTTTTATGCCACCGAAAGTCAGCCTTCTCTGACACAAAATATTCTTACACTCATATCATAAAATGTGTTTAGATCGGAAATTTAGAACTTCTAAGACGTGGATAGCCTTTGTACAATGGAATTGCAAAATAAAGAAATAGTGATCAAATTGAAATATCAGGATCATCAGAAAGAGATCTGAAACAAGTCGAATCCAATCCGTAGTACGCGGCTTGTAATAGCTGAAAATCCCCGAACACAAAATGTCAGCTTTGTGTCTCAGACAACAATACCATTACAATCAAGAAGGATTCCCGTCTTTAAAAGTAACAAAAACGCTTCCACGAAACATCTGTTCAACTGTTGCATACCTCAACCACCTGAAGAATGAAACTGGTATTCGTGCTATTCCATACGGGAGCTAAAAAACGATCGTCCTTGTACACTAGATGGATTATGGCAAGCAAGCAAGGAGAAGTGGTATACTTTGGACATGACATCCATACGACGGAGTCCTTTACAATGGATACTAAGCTGCACGGTCATAAGGTCATATAGGACATCGGTCAGTGGTTAGTTTAAGGTCTTACAATGCTAAAATACTGGGTTTGGTTCCCCTTGATAGACGGAGCGCAAATAGCCGATTATGTAACTTTGCGCTAAAACAAACAAATACATTTAATAACCAAAATTGTACAACTTATTAACCTCTTTATCATCAGATTGTATTATGATGTTTGTAAGTACCTCTATGTTATATATATATATATATTTAAGTACTCTATCTTGAACGTTTGCTGGTTTGCCTCTTGCTCAAAATTAAGACTATTTGTTATTAATTATAATTATTATTGTAAAAGTTAAGCAGCTTTGCTAACTTAAAAACAGTGCATAATATTTAATCAATAATTAACTCAAAATATTTATTTTTTAGTTCACAGTCTAATTCAGGGTATTTGTCAGTCATGCTTAACTACCGTTTTTACTTACTGTAATGGCAGTAATATTTATGATTATTGCTCAATCTGTAGCGTTTTTACAAACGTTTTTGTTTTTTGTTTGTTATTACGCGCAAAGCTACTCAATGGGTTATCTTTGCTTTGCACACTGCAGGTATCTAAACCTGATTTTTATAGTTATAAGCCCTCAAACATACTGGTGAGCCCAGGAACGTCGAGAGCCAGCACGGGCCTTGGGGTAAACATTCTCACTGAGGCCCCCCATTCTCTCTCTTTTTTTTAACATTTTAAAAAACTTATTAGAAAGAAGATCCTAAGTTAGGACAGCAGCAAGCTCATAAACCACACAAAATCATAGCAGCAGTTCATAGTTATAGTTCACAGTATAGGCGTAAAAACATTAATAAAGTAACAACAAATATCTATTAAATCTATAAAGTAACAACAAACATCTATTAAATCTATAAAGTAACAAATACATATTAATTATTACTCAAATTATTATTTAAATCACTCATAATGTATCGAGCGTCTATATGCAAAGAAAAGCCAAAACTATGCTTTTTATGATGAAATGAAGATACAGCCTATAGGTGCTTTGTGGGCACAACAGGAAGGGGCTCTGTTTTGTTTCATACGGTTTAATTCGTAGCTGGTATGTATTATGCTACACATTAAATTTAAAATACATGATGTTCATACGGAATGTCGTGTATTCATTCTTAAAGCTAATAACCTGTAGAAGTTTTATAAGTTAGTTCGTTGTTAATTTTAATTATGAGAGGATTATAAGTTCAATCAAACGTTCTGCTAACAGCTTTATCATCAGTGGATATGTAGAGCACACCGTACACATATGTATAGAGTCGTTCTAATTGCTTTGAACTTCAGCTATCTCAAGGTAATATGTCATACACTTCTCGTAAGAATTGTTTGTTTGTTTATTGTTAATCACCAACCTACACAGTAGGCTGTCTGTGCTTTGTTATGGGTTTCGAAGCCTGGTTTCTAGAGTTATAAGTCTTCAGAGTTACCGCTGAGCACAGGGGGCTCAAAGGAAAGATCTGAGAAACAGAAATACAGTGCTTCCGCTTTTCATTAGTTTATAGTAAGTTGTACTTTTTACATCTCAATCTTTCTATACTGATAACCAACTCTTCAGAAGCAGAAACCTGTACAATAAATCCCACGTAATGTACTGTTAAACTTCCGAACAAGCTTCAACAATATCGATATAACACATTTAAGGTAAAGGAACTGTTTCTATCTGGTCATATATCTAAACAGAAGCTGCATATAGTCACGAACGAATTGTCTGTATGTATGTTAAACAAATCTTTAGTTATGGTAAGTTATGGTTATAAATGTATACTTATAACCTTATTTTCAGATTTCGCTGAAGATGGAATGTTTTGTGAAACGTTCAGAACTTTTGTAAATACAAATGTGTTGAGTGATAAGAACTGTCTTCATCTTTATTGTTAGACTTCGTTCTGGCCTGGCCATCTTTGTTTGTTTTGAATTTCGCGCAAAGCTACACGAGGGCTATCTGCGCTAGCCGTTCCTAATTTGGCAGTGTAAGACTAGAGGGAAGGCAGCTAGTCATCACCACCCACCGCCAACTCTTTGGCTACTCTTTTACCAACGAACAGTGGGATTGACCGTCACATTATAACGCTCCCACGGCTGAAAGGGCGAGCATGTTTGTTGTGACGGGGATTCGAACCCGCGACCCTCAGATTGTAGCACATAGCTCTCGTGTAGCTTTGCGCTAAATTAAAAAACAAACAAACAAAGAATTTTTCCTCATCATGGATCTACAGGGAGCCCGAAAAGTCTGGAACCGTAGGTATTTCAACGAATTTTACAGAATGTGGAACACAATCTGTCCCTGTAATTTGAAACAAGTTTGGATTAACAGCAGGATGAATTCGACCTTTCCATGTTTTGACAACGCCGTAATGAGTCACGTATCTGAAATTAAGAAAAAATACAAATGACCTATGGTTCCAGACTTTTCGGATACCCTGTATTGCCAGGTGTATTATTCCACCCTGTTAACCAAAATAGGATTTAACGATACGGTCCTCAATTGGTAACTTCAATTTATGTGGTTTTTTCCTTTCGTGTATTTAACAACTCAGGAGTAGTTTGTTTTGTACGTATTTTGACCACTAAACAAAATAAATTATGTATGTACTTCAATTAATGTATCGTTGTTTTAATTGCTTGTGTTTGTTTGTTTTTGGATATTTGCGCAGAGCTGCTAAAGGGGCATCTACCCTAGTTGTGAGTAGTTTTAAGCTGATAGACTAGAGAGAAGGTAACTTAGGTAACGACATCCACCGCCAACTCTTGTAAGATCGAAAAGTGGATTTGATCATCTCTTCTAACGAGGCCCAGAATGGTCGGGCGGTTAGGGCGCTCGACTCACAATCTGAGGGTCGCGGGATCGAATCCCCCCTACCACCAAACATGCTCGCCCTTTCAGCCGTGGGGGCATTATAAGGTTACGGTCAATCCCTCTGTTCGTTGGTAAAAGGGTAGCCCAAGAGTTGGCGGTGGGTGGTGATGACGAGCTGCCTTATTTTCACTGCTAAATTAGGGACGCGCAAATAGCCCTTGTGTAGCTTTGCACGAAATTCATCACAAACAACTAAATACATCGCCGGGATCTGACCATTAATTTTAGCGTTGTAGCTCTGAAACTTACGCTTAGTCACTGAAGGCTTATTCTTTGTACACATTGTTTATTTTTTGCATTTAATGGCTGAATAATTTGGCAGGTACTTTATATCTTGGTGGAGTTAATCCGATAAATGACAAAAGATACAGGTTTTATTTTAATTTGATTACCTGAACTCATTACGAATGAACCTTTTCATTCCTTTTTGTACTAAGATTTGTAAGTTGAAACTTTGAAAAAACAAAACAAAATCTAATTAGAATTTAAGATGTTTTCGTATGCTTTCTTACGTGTTTTATTTTTTAAGGATTTTCAAGTAAAACGCTCGAGCTGGCATGTCCGCCAATTCCAATCTGAGGGTTGTGGGTTCGAATCCCGTTCATGAATATAGCCTTTTAGTCCTGGAGGGGGAGTTGTTGACTAGCTGTTCATCACACCACATTTAGGGGCGGCAGCACAGATAGCCCTCGAATAGCTTAGTGCAAAATTTAAAAAAACGAACAACTAA